ACAGGAAACAATTATTATGAGTATGCATGCTTGTGTGGGTGCCTGGGTGAGTGACTGTACATGTCAACCGATAAAAAAAGTGCCAACAAAAGGGCGAAGGCAAAATGTTTAAACAAATGTGGGCCCCTTGGCTCTTGCAAGGGATTCACATGTTACAAGACCAACTAATGCAGTAGTGGTAAGTGTTACAGGTGTACAGACGACGTTTCTACAGCATTTGATTATGTGATGGAAGCTTCTTCAGAAGAAAAGGACACGGCTCAAAAATTATTTGGATGTACCCGTATCGGAATGCGCTCTTTCGTCTGCGTTCTTTTGTGGGTGCTTTTTTCTCCTGCGTTATTTTGTTGCTCAGCCACAGGCACTAACTTTCCTTGGCACCGGTGGGAGCTCGCGCCCCCACCCGGCCCTGACCCAACTCCGCCCCTCCCTGCCCCTATTGGACCCCTCCCCAAATACCCGCCCCCTGCCCTGCCTCTTCCCCAGCATGCTGTGTTCCCCCTCCTCCCTCCCCGGCTTGCCGCAAAAATCAGCTGTTTCGCGGCGCAAGCGCTGGGGAGCCGGGGGAGAAGCAGAATGTGGCGGCGCGCTCAGGGGAGGGGGTGGAGCGGAGGCAGAGGGGAGCTGGGCCAGGGGGTGGGGACCGGGGAGCTGCCGGTGGGTGCTCAGCACCCACCAATTTTTCCCCGTGGGTGCTCCAGAGCCAGAGCAGCCACAGAGTCGGCGCCTAAGGTGCCACTTTTGGAGAATGTGCTGAGTGGGAGCAGCCTCTCCCCCTGCTCACCCCCTAGCTACGCTACTAAGTCTAAGCACTTATGGTGTCTCTCTCCAGTGTGGATTGCTTGATGATTAACAAGGTCTGACCTCTGTCTGAAACTTTCCCCACAGTCTAAGCACTTATGGGGTCTCTGCCCAGTGTGGATTTCCTGATGTAAAACAATGTGCGACCTTCATATGAAACTTTTTCCACAGTCCAAAAACTTATGAGGTCTTCCACAAAGGTCCCCTGTGATTCCCCATGCCCAGGAACTTCCTGCTGTTGATTCCCCTCCTCCTTCTCACTCACTCTCCCATCACCTGCTTGGACAAAGACACCATCCTGACAGGAGTCATTGGAAGAGGAGTAGCACCGAGGGAAAACCAACATACTAAAGCTGCACAGACTGAGCAATTGGATTTTGCCTCCACATCCCACCCAAACTTTCACAGAGAAGGAACGTTGGGAAGGAAAGACCTGCAGGTAAGAGGACACGTGGGAAGCGATGTCAGTGATATCTGCTGACTGTAACCCTGCCCTGGGTGAGATGAGGAAGAACTGAGGGCAGTTACTGATATCACATTTCTGGGATTCTCAACTTTTTCCTTCATTCCCCAGATGGTTTCTGTGTCAGTCCTCACCTGTGTGGGTGCCTCTTGGGACCTCTCTTTCCTCACAGCCCTGGAGATCGGGCACCCATGGCTCTTCCCCTCGTTCCAGCCGGCTGATCAGGTCAGGTTTGGGAAGGGGAAATCCTGTGCAGGGAGTGAAATCAGAGCAGATCAGGGTGCATGGAGGATTGAGAGAGCGTCTGTCAGAAAGGACATTCCATGAGTGGAACCTGTCCCTGTGCTGTGCTGGGGAATGTGGAATCTAAGAGGACTGAAACATGGTCACTGAGCCCCCTCGGGGGAGGCAGACGTCTGGGGAGGTGGGGGGAATTATGATTCACACCCAGCTCTAGTGTTAAACCCCTGCCTATTTCTAAACCTGCGGAGCCCAGAGCTCTCCATATGCCTGGAGCTATTCCCAAGGAGGAGGGAGAAGAGGGATTCTGTGTGTGACAGAGAAACAACACAGACAGGACAATACACGGCTTTTCCACCTTGCAAGCTAGGGAGGTCCGGTGGGGATGATTTAGTATGTGCCTTAGGTTTTGACACCCTGGTCTCATTAGGGAGTGATGAGGGAAGAACCTGACCGGTGTCAAACATGCAGACCCCCCCAGCTTCCAATAACCAAGGGGCCAGGAATCTCTTACCCAGCGAGGTCACCATCTCGTAGTTCTCCCGCATGACGTCACTGTAGAGGGCTCTCTGAGTGGGGTCCAGCAGAGCCCCTTGCCCCTGGGTGAAATACACAGCCACCTCCTCGAAGGTCACCGGCTCCTGAAACAACAAGAATCCCCAATTCAGCACCTGCTGCCCCAGCCACAATCACACTAGTTACAGGGGAGGAGGGACAGAAAAGCAGAATCCTCCCCCCCACCGTGCTCAGAGAAGCCAGGAGGCTCCAGGGGGTGGGCAGAAGGAGAGAGCTCCTTGGACCCCGCAGCAGACCGGCAGGGTCTTCTCATTTCTCAGATGCCTCCCAGCCACAGGCTGATACGGGAAGCAGAGCTCTGAGCCTGGGACAGGGACAGGAATCCCAAAAGCTTCAGAAATGGAGGAATGTTTCCCCTCCCACCACTACCAAAGGGCCCGTTCAGAAAATCAGGCCCAGGTTGATCATGTTCTAGCAGGTTTATCACACCTCTTCCCACCCTGTGTGTTTAATCCCTCTACAATACCCCTCCCCCACCACCAAGAGCTCCCTAAAAATCCCCTACCTGAGCTGGCTCCATCACAGCCATTTCCCTGCCCTGTCTCCTGGAAGAAGGACTGATCTGGAGCGAAACGTGGACACGATTCCTCAGCCTGTCAGAGGAGCAGAATTATTGGGCAGGTTTCATAAGGGCCTGGAGTCCATGTCACTCCCCGATTCCCCCCAGGCTCTCTCCCTGCAGACAGACACTATGATTCTATGACTCTGCCATGATGGGAAGAAACCCAGTTAGTTCATTCCCATCCTGGCCAGGACCCCACCCCCCCATTAGAACTAAACTCACCAAGTCCCTTCTAAACCTCCCCAGAACAGCATCTCTGAGCCAAACACTGGAAAAAGAGCAGAATCA